GGGTTGGCAGGCAGGTCCCTTAAATTGCAATCAATAAAATTACTGAATTATGTAAAACTATTACATAAATACGCACGTAGAATTTAAATATATATGCATATTTATATATTTGAAGTCTACGTGTATATTTATATAATTATTTATGTAATTTTGTATATGGACATATGTATATTTCTTATTATTTTTATTTATTTTTATATACATAGATATATATACAAATTCATTCTAAGTGTATTTTGATATAAATATATATATATTAATTTTAAAATACAGTTAGAATAAAATTTCATATAGATATATAATTTTTTTTATTTTTTTATTATTATTTTAAAAATGTTTTATTTAATTTAAATTACTTATTATTTATATTTTATAATAATATATATATATACAATATATATAGTTATTATATATATTATATATATACGTGTGTAATTTAATTATAAGTGTATTTTTATATTAATATAAGTACATATTAATATAAAAATACACTTAGTTTGGCATTATATAGATGATATATAGACATATATTATATAGATATATATATAGATATATATATAGATATATTATATGTCTATATATCATATATACACATATATAATTATTATTATTTTTTTTATTACCATCAGCACAGACAGTCCCCCTGCAGGCAGCACTATGGACACCTATTGTGACCATGTGATCGCTGTGTTAAGTGATCACATGGTCACAGGGGTCCTAAATCAGTGTGGGGAGACTGTCTGGGCTGCAGGCAGTCTCCCCACAACCGGAGCCACGCTGATCGCCGCCGGGGGAACGACGGCGATCAGGTAAGTACCCCCAGACCGTTAGGACGGTTCAGGACCGTCATCGGTCCTCAAGGCAAAAATGCCGATGACGGTCCTGAACCGTCCTCGGTCGCTAAGGGGTTAAAAAGAAGGTATGGTGAGAGGGATGGCTCTAAGAAAGTATAACATTTTAGGAAGGAGAGTCATTTTAACCAAATTTATTCTTGTTGTTAGTAGTATCAGCTCTATATTCCAACGTTGCAACACTCTGTTTCATTTTTGCAAATTCTGATCTAACCTCATTCCTAAATTCTCTTAAATCCTTCCTTATATTCTTGTAGTGTAACCGCAGGTGGTTCCCTTATTTACCACTATAATGTCTTAAAGCATAGAACTTAGTAGGGCTAACCATACAGATATCTTAGCCATAATTTTATATAGTTAGTAAGAGATCCTCTATTTAACATATATAAATAATTGAGAATACAATATAAAATAAGGATTGTCTTGGAAGCAATAGTTTTGTCTTTTAGATATTTATTATATAAAAATATAAATATAGATATATAAAATCCATTATAGCAGAGTTTATAAGATTAAACTAAATGCTTGCAAATAGTTAAAGGACCACTATAGTGCCAGAAAAACAAACTCGTTTTCCTGGCTCTATAGAGTCTTTGGGTCCCCCCCACCCTCAGGATCCCCATCCCACTGGGCTGAAGGGGGAGCAAGGGATTAAATTCTTACTCTCCTCCCTCTTCTGACGTCATCATCTGAATGCACATGCGCGGCAAGAGCCACGCGCACATTCAATCAGTCCATGTGAAAGCATTTCTCAATGCTTTCCTATGGACATTGGCATCTTCTCACTGTGACAATCACAGTGAGAAGTGCAGACGTGCCTCTAGAAGCTGTCAGTGACAGCCACTAGAGGCTGGATAAACCCTAATATAAACATAGCAGTGTCTCTGAAACTGCTATGTTTACAGCTGCAGGGTTAACCCTAGAGGGACCTGGCACCCAGACCACCTAATTGAGCTGAAGTGGTCTGGGTGCCTATAGTGGTCCTTTAAGGCTTGGGATGCTGTATTTAAAAAAATTAAACACTCTGCTTTTTGGTCCAGGGCCGCTCCTCTGTCAGTGTTGCGAACCTCATTACCCGATCTGGACGTGGAATATTGGCTTTCTCATTCTGTCAAACATATCAATGATTTATTTTTGTCTAATAAATTTTTATCTCTTGACCATTACTCAATGCTTTCCTATGGACATTGGCATCTTCTCACTGTGAAAATCACAGTGAGAAGTGCAGACGTGCCTCTAGAAGCTGTCAGTGACAGCCACTAGAGGCTGGATAAACCCTAATATAAACATAGCAGTGTCTCTGAAACTGCTATGTTTACAGCTGCAGGGTTAACCCTAGAGGGACCTGGCACCCAGACCACCTAATTGAGCTGAAGTGGTCTGGGTGCCTATAGTGGTCCTTTAAGGCTTGGGATGCTGTATTTAAAAAAATTAAACACTCTGCTTTTTGGTCCAGGGCCGCTCCTCTGTCAGTGTTGCGAACCTCATTACCCGATCTGGACGTGGAATATTGGCTTTCTCATTCTGTCAAACATGTCAATGATTTATTTTTGTCTAATAAATTTTTATCTCTTGACCAGTTACAGACCAAATTTGGTTTGGACGCCTCTGATGCCCTGATGCACAGATTGATGGTAGAAAAAAAAGATTGATGGTAGAAAAAAAATTAGTGATCATTTTAAAGTGTCTGATCAGGATTTGGATGCTTGTATACTTGATATGTCTCCATTAGAAAAAAACGTATCATCCAAATCCTGGCCAGAGATGAACCATCTCAATGTTGTAAGCATATTTTGCCGGGAAACTTGGTCCAAAATTGGACTACATGACAAAATTGGAGAGCAAACTGACAGGAACTTTCACAGTCGAGGAATGGCATGAGCTTTATGAGGAGTCACACAGTCCACTGCCCTGTTAGAATCACACTATAAACTCATATACAGGTGCTACTTAACACCCTCCACACTTTTCAATTTCAAACTATTAAATAAGAACAAATGCTGGAGAGAGTGTGGACAGGTGGGAACACTTTACCATATCTTTTGGTCATGTCCAAAACTCACACAATATTGGAAAAATCACAAAGTTGGAATTACCACTTTAATTCCATCTTTGTCACCCACAATGTGTCTTCTGAAGAAACTCCCAGATGGTTTGCCCAAAGCTACATCCTTACCACTTTAATTCCAACTTTGTCACCCACAATGTGTCTTCTGAAAAAAACCCCGGATGGTTTGCCCAAAGCTATAGAAACTATATTACGCCATATCCTCATATCAGCAACTTCAGTCATTCCTCGATACTGGAAAACGGATATTATTCCTTCTGTGACTGAGGTGATAACTTACTAGAGATCAAGAGGTGTGAATTGCAGGGCCAGATTAACAGCCGAGTGGGCCTGGTGCTGACAATTATGACGGGCCTAATTAAAGAATCATATCGACCAAAAACACTCCCAAGCGTCATGTATCTGATGGAGATGGTGCTGGAGAGAAAGAAAACAGCAACTATAAGAAAACACATACCCTAGGCTAATCTCTCTCTAATTTATGTTTTCATCTTTCAAGTAAATCCATAACCCCTAACAGCAGTGTCCAGTCAGGCAGGAAGTCAATGGGCATGGTAAAAGCGTGTGCCACTGACACAAATCACGTAACCTGCCAAAAGGGTCGAACATCTACCCAAAGAATTATAAGGCCAGCCTGGCATGAATGCATGTCAGACTGCCTGCCAATCATGCAGCTGGCCAACAAAGGGCAAACTATGCAGACAGCACCCTGAGCTTGGCATAAATGCATCTAATGATGCGCTTGCTCAACGCTTTCTAAGGACTGTCCCCTAGCACTCTCTGGTCCACTTGTCTCCTTACCTTCTTACTAGCAGGCAGACGCTCCTGGTATATAGTCTGGGACAGAGAAAAGCTGTATGTAGTGAGTGTAGAAGAAAGGGAACATGCCACAGTGTTAGAGAGACCAAGGTCAGCATTACCTTAAAGGATCACTATAAGGTCAGGAACACAAACATGAATTCCTGTCCCTATAGTGGGGCCCTCCCTGGGCCCCTCATGCCTCCATAAATATAGTAAAAATCTTCAAGCCTGAAGCTGTAACTCTGCATGCTGTTAGACTCAGAAAAACAAGCAGTCTGCTGACATCATTAGAAGTGGTGGCCTGATCCAATCACAGTTCTTCCCCATAGGATTGGCTGAGACTGACAAAACGGCAAATCAGGGACAGAGTCAGCATGATTCAAACACAGCCCTGGCCAATCAACATCTCCTTATAGAGATGAATTGAATTAATGAATCTCTATGAGGAAAGTTCAGTGTCTGCATGCAGAGGGAGGAGACACTGAATGTTTGGATGCATTTTAGGCAGCCATGACCCAGGAAGGATCTCTAACAGCCATGTAAGGAGTGGCCAGTGAAGTTATCACTAGGCTGTAATGTAAAGACTGCATTTTCTCTGAAAATACAGTGTTTACAGCAAAAAGCCTGAAGGTAATGATTCTACTAACCAGAACAAAGTCAATAAGCTGTAGTTGTTCTTGTGACTATAGTGTCCCTTTAACTATATTCATTGTCAGCCAGTCCACACAAGTTTTGTTCCTATACATCCCTCTTAAGTTTCCATACTTAAGTAAGAGTATGTGAAAAGTAGTTAGGGTTGCCACCTTTCTTGGAAAAACATACTGGCCTTACTAATTTGCATAATTAAATATGTATGGGTGATATCACATGATGTAAATCACAAGGAGTGACAATGCTGTAAAATCACCAAAAAACTATTTAGTTTGATTATGCTGTATAGATGGATTCCTCCCAGTGCCCCCATGTGTTGATTACTCCAGGTCTCAGCATTCCTATGTATCAGTGTCTCAGTGCCCCATGTCTCCCAGTGTCCCCTAGTGTCGTGTCCCCAGGTCTCCCAGTCACCCTATGTATCACAGTGTCCCTATGTATCACAGTGTCTCAATGCCCCATGTCTCCCTGTGTCCTCCAGTATTCCCATGTGTCTATGTCCCCATGTATGTGTCACTAGGACACTAGGAAGACGGGGAGACCTGGGGACACGGGGAGACCTAGGGACACAGAGACACCAGTGACAGTGGGAAACTAGTGGTCACTGGCTCGGACACATGGGGCCACTGGGAAAATAGGGGACACTTGAAGACATGGGGACACAGACACTAGAGACACTGGCTGGGGGACATGGGGACATTGAGACATGGGGGCACTGGGAGACATGGGGACACTGAGACACCAGGGCCACAGACACTAGGGACACTAGCTTGGAGACATGGGGACATTGAGACACTTGAGGCACTGGGAGACATGGAGGCACTAGGATACATGGGGACAGTGAGACACTGGGAGACTAGGGGGCACTGAGACACCAGGGACACTGGCAGGGGACATGGGGACACTGGGAGACATGGGGACACTGTGTCCCCATATGTCTGTGTCATAATGTCTCCCAATGTCCCTTAGTGTCTCAGTGTCTGCCATAATGTCTCCCAGTGTATGTCTCCTTGCAGCCTTCCCCCCATCCCTTACTTCCCTGAGCTGTAGGCTGTCTCTGCAGGGTGGGAGTTGCTGTCTGGACTCTCTGTAGCTGTACCCCTGCAGATCAGTGAGTATAGATAGACAGGGAGGGATTTGCTGGAACTTCCTATCCCTGCCTGTCTCCACACACAGTGACTCCTACTGGCCAGTGCTGGTATTGCAGAGTAATCTCTTGTTTATACTGAGAAAAATACCAGCATTTGTCTTGCCAATATCACTGCAATATTGGCACCAGCAAGGCAGCCTCAAATACTGCCAATAAAATAAAAGCCAGGTGGAATCCCTAAGAGTAGTGTGTGAAAAAAAAAGTAAAAAAAAAAAAAAAATGTAAATGTTTTTTTTTTTTTTTAAATCAATGGGCCTATTCCATGGGCCTGGGCCTGGAGCTGCAGCTCCATCAGCCCCTATGTTAATCCGGCCCTGGTGAATTGGCCTTCAGAGCACCCTCATACACTCTAGAAACTCTAAGGTAGGAATGGGGACTCTGGGAGTGGGACATCAGAAAAAGATATTCACTTTAACATTTACTTCACTTAACTAGACACTAAAACAGATAATTATCAAATATTATAATTTTTTTTATATAATAAAGCAAAACAAAACTAGACAAAGTAGATATGAGATATTTTTGTATGTTGTTTGTTATACTGCATAATTGGCACAATGACTATAATACAAATAATATCATCTACATATGCAATGAATACTGGAACATGTATTCATTATTTCCCTAGTTTTGTTTTTTTTATTATTATTTATGTTTATATTTTTTGTTAAGTCAATCTGGAAATCATACAATGTTATTGTCATTATTGTTATTTGAAAAGGAACACAGACTTTTCTAAAATTAGAATATGTGTAAATGGGTCATAATAAGACTGGAGCAATTTAAATGGAGTCCAAGACAAATGGGATTATTTAAAAGTTGCACTGCTGAAGGCAACAGAAAATTGCATTAGACTTGTCAGTAAAAGCAAAAAAAGAAGAAACCACTCTGGTACTCCGCAGATGTGGCCAAAATAGTAAAAAACTAAAAGTTAGCATTTAGTAATTATAAAAAAAAAACACAGAGTGAGGAAGACAGAATGATCTATACGATTAGGCAGAAAGAGGCTAAGCAAGTTATAAGAGCTTCCAAATCACACACAGAAGAGAAAATAGCAGAGTCAGTTAAAAACGGGGCAAAACATTTTTTAGATACATAAATGAGAAAAGGGAAGTAAAACAAGGATTAAACTAAGTAAGGTATGTAGAAGAGGATAAAGGTCTAGCTAACTGCCTCACTGAATATTTTTTTTCAGTATTTGCAGATAAAAAAAAATGAAAGAAAGGGGCCTCAGTTAGGAAAAAGGACAAAAGAACAGATGAGTCATTTCTTACATGTGAGCTTACAGAGGAAGAGGTTCTATTTCAACTGTCAAAAGTAAAGACAAATAAGTTGATGGGGCCTGATGGAATACACCCAATGTTATTAAAAGAGCTTATTGGTGTACTAGCAAAACCATTAACAGATTTATTTAACCAATCATGGTTAACAGGAGTAGTCATAGAAGATTGAAAGCTAGCAAATGTTGTGCCCATTCACAAGAAAGGTAGTAGGGAGGAATCAGTCAACTATAGGCCAGTAAGCCTTACTTCAGTAGAGGGGAAAGTAATAGAAACCATGTTAAAGGATAGGATTGTTGAACATCTAAAAACCACATGGATTTCAAGATCAGGGACAACATGGGTTTACTTCAGGGAGATCATGCCAAACTAATCTTATTGATTTTTTGATTGGGTAACTAAAATAATAGATCAGAGTGGTGTAGTAGACATTGCTTACCTAGATTTCAGAAAGGCTTTTGACACTGTTGTACGTAGAAGGCTTATCAATAAACTGCAATCTTTAAGTTTGGATTCCAATATTGTTGAATGGGTAAGGCAGCGGCTGAGTGACAGACAACAGAGGGTTGTAGTCAATGGAGTATATTCGAAGCATGGTCTTGTCACCAGTGATGTGAGGATATTTATGGGGTGATAAATATTAAAAATAATATTTTTATAAAAATTATCAAAAAATGTAATAATTTTTATTATATAAAAAATTGACATTTTGGCACTGTTCTACTTGATTAATTTAAAGCTAAGAGCTACCCACTATTTTTATCACTTATAGACCCTGGAGTACGTTTTATTAGAGGATTTGTATTTCACACATTAATCACAAACTAATTATAAAATATAATTTATTATGACAATAATAATAATAAAATGTAACATGCATGACAATAATCAGTCAATATTTAGGTATAACATAATTATACAATATGGCAGTTTAACACAGTTCTGATCGCAGGCAATTATTATTTCTGTGGCAAGTACAGTAGAGGAGATAAAACCAAAAGTTTGTATGTGGCTTGTTGTTTTCTGGAACAAAGGAGGTGGTCACTTAGTATCCCTATTGCTCCACCCCTGGATGAGGCGTGGCAATTCACAGGGTATCTCTCCTGTGATCCTGAAGGGTGTTTGTGTACTTGCTTGGGGCCAAGATCTAATTTTGAGTGAGTCACCATCTTTCCTTGCCAGAGACCCCCTGGACAGAAGTTGTACTTTGAAAACCTAAGTGAGTAATTAGGACTTCATTATTTTATCCTTTTTGTTTTTATTTGTTGTTGGTGTAAATAATTTGTTTATCATATATTGTTATATGCACTGTGATTAATTTTTGCTCATAATAAACATTCATTTATTAAGTTCTGCCTTTGTCTGGTTAAGAATCACGTTACCTGAAGAGAATAGTTAGTATTTTTGTAATTCCTTAAATATTGTGCTAAGTAATATTTGGTGGGTTTTATTATTGATTTATCTTGGGAACCAAGGCACCCCATTTATAAATTGTCTTGGTGGTGGCAGCGTTTGAAATAGTAATAGTTATATTATTATGTTTAAGTGTGTGGGTGGTGTTAAAAGGGGTATTAAGTGTGTGGGTGGTGTTAAAAGGAGGATTTTTACATTATTTACGGTCTAGTGCAGACAAATAGTGTACTTTAACCCTTTCACCACCACAACTACGTCACGCACACTCTTGGAGTAGGGTGCGTTCGTGACATCCAGTATGAGGCAACTGCTCCAAATATGGGATCTAGTTAGAGACCAATTAACTCAAGTAACTCAGTTACCATTGGTGATGCCTATAAAAAAAACTGAGCTACCAGTTTCCACATTTAATTGTGGCACCTGGGTGAATTAAGGAGTACTAGGATATTTTTTTTATATCAAGTTTTTAAAGATGGAGCTCTAATGTCCTTCCCTGAAGTACAAACACAATTTAATCTACTGAAAAAGTTGCTCTTTTTACACTTGCAACTGAAATCTTATATAACAATCACTTACCACAAAACCTCACCAATTATTTGAACAAAATTTTAATTAATTTGCACACACCTTACACTTCCTAATAAATGGGGGTGGGACCAAATTCTTGATTGAATCAATGCATCTCTATGAGGAAAGTTCAGTGTACAGCCAAGCTGTAATACTGGACGTGGGGACTACAGTGCTGATGGTGTCAGGTGAAGTGCTTGGAGTCCTCAGTGAGCACTAGGAGCATCGATTGGCAGAGGCACCCAGTCTTGGTGCCAGGCAGTCCATCACACTTAGTAATTCTTTTAAGGAAGTTATGCGGTTGCTATTCGCATCACTTCCGTAAAAACTCCAGCTGCCATCTTCTTTATTGTCACGGTTCACGCCATGACATCCAGTCTGCCAAACGTGGTTGCTCCGGAAGCGCCCGATAGGGGATTTGAACTGCGGTTGTTCTACACCGTATCCTGCTATCTTCCCTCTGAGCCATTTCAGGACTTTGGATAATTCCTGTTTATTCTTGTATTGCCTGCAGCACTAGGGGGCTGGACTTCACCAAAGGCTCTGATCTGTCAGTAACTATCCAGCTGAATCTGATGCCTAATTAACAGGATATAAAAGCCTGCCTCACCCTGGGAGGGGTGTCAGTTCATTGACTCTGGTTCTCTTGTTTGGTTCCTGTTACTCTGTACCTGCGTTCCAGTGATTCTTGTCTATTCCGGCTTCTGACCTTGGCTTTCCTCCTGGACTACTCTGACCTCTGGCTTCCCTGATTTTGGCTTCCCTTGACCACGCTTCTGCTTATCCCTGCTGTACTGAGTCTTGGAGCACTTTTCCTGGAAAGCCCCCGTGCACAGACTCACAGGCCAGGTGGCGTCTTACCTGGTCACCCTGGTCTGTCTACTTTGCAAGGGTGAGCGTATAACTCTGCGAGCTGGACTCCCTATCAGGTAAGACTCCGTTACATTTATGGGCATAGTGTGGGCTTACCAATATGTATTCGAAAACATGTCACAACCTGGTTACTGAACCACTCATCCACAGTGTCCATAAAGTGCATTAACCCCTTATACAACCAAGAGATAGCAAGAGATGTCCACACATGCCACAAAGGTTAGACAGCAAGTATCCCTTCTAAATGTCCAGAAGTTGTATTCATGTCACAGACCACTGCAGTAGCATTACAGAAACTAATTGCACTATTTGGCCTGCAGAGCTTGATAATGGACCACATTTTATTTCTGGGCAATTTCAGGCTTTTCTCAAGGAAAACAGTATTTGGCATTATCAATGTATGTATTTGCTCTCGTGAAGTCTTGTCTTTATGGTAGACTTTAATAATGAGAGAGAGAGAGAGAGAGATTACACAAGATCCAGCGCACTCACCTATCCACTAAACAGCAACTTCAATGTTGAAAGATTTTATTTGTTTTTTTAAAAACACCTAATCTAGGCAAAAATAATGGGGGTTTAGTTACATTATATGATCATACATTGCATAAGCCTGCCACAACGTCAATGTACCCCATCTTTGGCAG